CGAGAGGGTGGGAATAATCCTTGCTGTAAAGATTTGTTCCCTCTTTTGAGCTACTACATCCATCAGTATAGGTAAAGTTCATCAAATTGTAGTGGATTACTCTTTTTTTTTTTTTCCCCCTCTTCTTTATTCTTCTAGTCAAGTTCTGATCATGCAGCCATTGAAGCCAGGTCAAGTGGGTAGTATCTGCAAATATGGGTGTTCTTGTGCATCTCCCCTCACTTCATATCAGCTGGACACTTCACTTTACTCTCTGCTCTAGTCCTATGTGGCCATATCACTACCTCTGGGCCCAGGAGTCCCTGGGTCTTGCCATACTGCTGGCCATCCAGCTCTCCACAAGGGTTCATAAGGGTTCATTGAATATGGTTGGGCTTAGCTCACAACTTCACTGCTGTTTTCCACCCCCCTCTTTCCCTTAATGGTGACCAACGTGGTCACCAGCCAGACCACATACCTGCTCATGTATTTCCCTTGAGTCTTAGTCTTGAAAGGGAGTTTGCTCTGAGGGAACCTGATCACTTTCCTTGATGGCTCCCAGGCAAACAGCTTACTTGTTCCTGTAGTAATCAATCAGACTGTCATTATCATTCCATATTTTTCCTGCAGGTTTTTCTTTCACGAAGTATCTTCTGTTAGTTCTTTCTAGTGGGAATTTCCCACCTCAGACAAGCCTAGATGGGCTTCTGGAATTCACCTATGGTCTTATGTAATGTAAAGGCTCCACAATAAGCCAATTTCACTGGGCAACTTCTAGCCCCCTTTAAGGTATTCCAATCAGTTATAGGCTGAAGAATGGCATACATGCTTTCTATTGTGATGTTTCTGGCTATTCCTTCCTCCCCCTCTCAAGTGTCTATTTTACAATGGTAGGCAAGGGAAACCAAACTTCAAAAGACAGCCAAGCATCTTAACATTATTCCCATCTTTTACCCATTCAAACCAGGCTTCAATCCATGTATCTCAGAGTCCTGTTGATCTAAGGTTGTGCATACCTCAACATTTACCTCCATCCCACTTTGCCCATGTAAACTTGCCTAACTGTTCTCTAATCCATTTTGTTTTTCCATTCCCATTCCCTTTCTTGTGTATTGACCCCTCTTCTCCCCAGCACCCAAGCTGTACTGAGTCTATTCCCTACTGTGTGCTCTATCTTCCCGTTCCTCCCTCCCCTCCTCTGATCCCATAGATCCCGGTAATCAGCAAATATATATAATTTTTCCCCTTATGCAGTATTTCTCCTTTTGTGACTAATTTCAATCAGCATAATGTCCTCAAGGTTCATTCATGTGATGTGTTGGCTTGCAGCTTCCTTGTTTGTCTTCAAGGTAGAATAGTATTCCATTTTGTGTATGTTCCACACACAGTTTGTTTATCCATTCTTAAATTGATGGGCATTTAGGCTGTCTCCATCTTTTTGCTATTGTAGATAGTGCTGCTATGAACACTGGTGTGCATATATCTACTTGTCTTATGGCTCATATTTCTTGTGGGTAAATACCAACTAGAGGAATTGCTGGATCATAAAGTATTTCTATTTTCAACCTTCTGAGGAAGTGCCATATTGCTTTCCAGAGTGGTTGAACCATTTTGCAATCTCACCAGCAGTGTAGGAAGGTCCCAGTCTCTCCGCAACCTTGCCAGCATTTATCGTCCTCTATTTTTTTAATCTTTGCTGTTACTGCTGGAGTGAGATGATATCTCATTTTTGTTTTGATTTGCATCTCTCTAACAAGTAGTGATTGTGAACATTTCTTCATGTTTGTTGACTGCACGGATGTCTTTCTTGATGAAGTGTCTATTCATATCCTGTGCCCATCTTTTAATTAGGTTATTTGTCTTTTTCTTGTAAAGGTGTTGTAGATTCCTATGTATTTTAGAAATGACTCCCTTGTCTGATGTGTCATTGCAAAGGATTTTTTCCCATTCTGTGTGTTCCCTTTTTACTCTTTTGGTGAAGTCTTTTGATGCACATAAGCTTTTAATTTTTAGTAGGTCCCAATCATTTATTTTTGTCTACTTTTGTTTGTGTAGTTTTCAAAATGTTTAGTAGTCTGTGTATGCCCTGAATTAGAGCCCTCACATTTGTCCCTATTTTTCATTAATGACCTTCATAATTTTGGGATTCACATTTAGGTATTTAATCCATGCTGAGTTGGTTTCTGTATAGGGCATGAGGTAAAGGTCTTGTTCCAATCTTTTGCATATTGCTTTCCAGTTCTGCCAGCACCATATAATAAAAAGACTATCTCCTCCCTATATAATATACCTAGGCACTTTTTAAAAAATTAGTTGGCTGTATGTGGATGGGTTAATTTCTGGATTCTCCATTCTGTTCTATTAATCAATGTATCTTTCATTGTACCAGTAGCAAGCAGTTTTGCCCACTGTAGTCATGTAATAAATTTTTAAGTCAGGGAGGGAGTGGTTTCCAACCTTGTTCTTTTTCTTAAGCAGTACTTTGCTTATCCTGTGTCTCTTTCCTTTCCATATAAAGTTTGTAATTA